TAGTCGCCCTGACAACAAGACCAAGTTGCGACAACGAGGTCAATCCACTTCTATAAATCGAAAGGAGACTACGACTATAACAGAGGCCACAAGATCTTGGTCTTCATATATTCTATTAAAGCTAGGTGAAGTTCAGTAGAATCATTTGGCCTGCTCATCGTGTGAATATTCAATGTTTATCACTATATGAGACATAGGGTGACCATTATTTCTTATGCTATTTATAAAATACCTTTCTAAAATATGTATGTGCTTCCAATAATTCGACTAAGAACTAATAAATTAGAATTAATGGACTATTTAGTATTTTCTATTCTAATTTATGAATCAGCCTTTATGCTCGTTATTCCATTTCCTGTTTAAAAACTGCTTAAGTGTTGCCTTTGTCTTTTTGAGGTTTTGCATGGAAGAGTACTGTTAATTTAGTCTTATACCCACTAGAACTATTGAGTTAAGTTTAGACTTGACAATCGATTTTTGTCTATTTTGCATAATTGAATCATATTAACTTATACGAATGGGTCAATGTGTTTCTGTTTTTCTTACTTTATAGCTTTTACCATACTTCATGTATTTGATTTATTTCCAAATAAAATTGTTATTTTGGGTTTATAACTAGGATTTTGAGACTACCAGTAATGCTGTTGGGGAAAAAATCATGTCATTTAGCATCGCTCTCTCGTGTTGACAGCGTTCACTTCATGTATAAAAAATATTTATTTACCTTCCGAGGTCAGGTCATACCTATGCTGGGATTCGCTTTTTGCGAGGTAATTGCGGAGTGGCTGTTGTGCGCAGTGGCGAAGCTATGGAGCGTGGTCTGCGCGACTGCTGTAGGTCGATTAGAATAGGCAAGATTCTTATACAAACAGCTGAGGAAGCTGATCAAACTGAGGCCAGGGTCTTCTATGCCAAACTTCCGCCCAATATTGAGAGCCGGAAAATATTGCTTATGTATCCTATACTCGGTGAGCTCTTGTCTTTTCTTTTCCATTTTAATTATACTTATTCACTATTTCTATCCCAAACATACTTTTTATAAGGATATATTAGCCTTAACTTACTATATTTCTTTACTTTTAATTTCAATAAACTACTCTCAAAAAGTTAGGCGAAATAGTAAAGAAATGGGGCATAAAACAGTGTTCAAAGAAACACTCACACTTTATTCTATTATGCCATCTTTTAGAGAGAAATATGACGCATTATCTAGATCCGGCTGTTACAAGATTCTTTGC